CCTAGTACCTTCAAAATTCTTGGACAAAACCACCCAAATATTAAACACTGCTAATGGGAAAAGACTCATGATCAATTATAAACTGTCTGAAGCAGCTGTTTGTAATAATGGGGAGTGTTTTCTAATGCCCTTTATAATGGTAAAAGGATTAGCCCAAGAAATAATTTTAGGAACACTATTTCTGAGTTTACTCTATCCTATAAAAACCTTAGACTCTTCTGGAATAGAGTCAGAAATTCAGGGACATAAAGTTAAGTTTGAATTCATTGAAAAACCTAAACTAAAAGAAATTAATTAGATTATGGTTTTAAAGAAAAACAAAGAATCTCTGCTCCATACACTCAAACAATAAATTGTAACTCGGCAAATAAAAGAGAAAATTAATGAATTCATAACTCAAAAGAAAATTATTCAGTTTAAAAATAAGCTTGAAAAAGAAGTTTGTGTTGATATTCCAAATGCTTTTTGGCAAAGAAAAAAAACACATTGTTGAGTTACCTTATAAGCCATACTTTAATGAAAAATTTATTCCTACTAAGTCTCGACCTATTCAGATGAATAGTAAGCTTTTAGAAATCTGCAAAAGGGAGATACAGAACCTTCTTGATAAAAAGTTAATTAGGACTTCATACTCCCCTTGGAGCTGTCCAGCCTTTTATGTGGAAAAGGCCTCAGAAAAAGAAAGAGGAGTACCTAGACTTGTTATTAATTACAAACCGTTGAACAAAGCTCTTAGATGGATAAGATACCCAATTCCAAATAAAAGGGATTTGCTTAATCGACTATTCAAAGCACAAATATTTTCTAAGTTTGATATGAAATCAGGATTCTGGCTAATTCAAATTTAAGAAAAAGATAGATATAAAACTGCCTTTACCGTACCTTTTGGGCATTATGAATGGAATGGGATGTCATTCGGCATAAAAAATGTCCCTTCTGAACTCCAGCACATCATGAATGATATTTTTACACCATATACTCAATTCATGATAGTCTACATTGATGATGTATTAGTTTATTCTAATTCTATAGAACAACACTGGAAACATCTAACGATCTTCTTACAGGCAATAAAAGGCGCTGGTCTGGTTCTGTCCGGAAAGAAAATGTAAATATTTCAAACAAAAATTTGATTTTTAGGATACAATTTACACAATCAATCAATTATTCCCATTGATAGAGCCATAAGTTTTGCTCAACATTTTCCTGATGAAATCAAAGACAAAACTCAACTTCAACGATTTTTGGGAAGCCTTAATTACATTGCCGACTTTTACAAAACTCTTGCTAAAGATTGTGTTATTCTTTATGATCATTTGAAAAAGAATTTACCAGAATGGGGAGAAGAACATACCCTAGCTGTTCGGAAAATCAAAATAAAAGCAAAAGAATTACCATGCTTAGCTATTCCTCATCCTGAAGCTTTTAAAATAATAGAAACTGATGCCACTGAAATAGGACTTGGAGGAATTTTAAAACAAAATGCCAAGTTCAAAAAGAGAACAATTAGTAAGGTTTATGTCCAAAAAATGGAATGATACCCAAAAACTTATTCTACAATAAAAAAAGAAATTATCTCTATTGTCTGCTGTGTTTTAAAATTTGAAGGTGATATATTTAACCAAAAATTCTTAATAAGCACAGATTGTAAAGCAGCTAAAGATGTAATAGAAAAAGATGTCAAAATCTTAGTTTCAAAACAAATATTTGCCAGATGGCAGGCTAATCTAGCCACTTTTGATTTTGATATACAGCACATTTTAGGAAACACTAATTCTCTACCAGATTTCTTAACACGAGAATTTCTGCATGGTATCCAAGGGAAGAGCACAAGCAAAATCCCACAGTGAGACCTCAAGCCAGGTCAATATCAGAGAAAATAGTCCTAATTCATCTAAAGACTTAATTCAGTCTACTGAAAATTCAAAATATTGGGAAAAATCATATCTCCCAATTTTGCCAATCGATAATATCCATCTTCATCTTAATCCAGAAGAAATTGCAAAGATTTATTTAGTTAACCATATGCATCCCAGAGATGAATTCAAATCTCAGATGTTTTACGAAACGATTCTTAAAGAAACAGGATCTGTTGAAGTTGTCCGAAGATATAGAGGACATGATATTATTGCATATTCTAAAATGAGGATTAAAAAAGTCCTAACTTATAAAGATTGGGGATTTGATCCTCTCAAACCCAGATATTTTAGAAACTACCCTAAAATCAAGAGTTATAATTATTATAACTACATTGAAGCATGGGAGAAAGCTTTATTATTACAAAATAAGCAGAATACCCATAGTTGATTCACTATGTTCAGGCTTAATCAAGCCCTTGCAGAAATACCCACATGGTTTAAAAAGCGGATGCTGTATTGGGGCTCTGCCCCAGACATTTATCCTCAACCATTACAATGCTCTCTGTCAAAATTCCAAGCAACCAATAGGAATTGGTCAAGAATGGAACTACTAATTCGATTTACTACCTTATGGGAGATCCCTTGGATCCTCAGGTGGTCCTATTCTGTTACTGAGGATGATGACAGTTGGGATTTTATCCCTCACCTCGAAATAGTTGTACAAATAAAATGGTGGGATAGTTTTGATACTAAAGACTTGGTGCTCGAAACCATTAAAATATTAAAAATTAAGGTTAATGCGCCAAGACTTGGCCAACCTACAGGAACAGCCTCATATTTAAGGCTACTGCAATTTGAAAATCCAAACCTATCACAAGAAGAACTTAAAAGTAAGTTATTGTCCATTTTTTAAGATGAAGGAGATTTCATGTCATTAAATGAAGATGAAAGCAACCAGAATGGCGATGACAGTGTTGGGATTCTCCCACCACTAAATTAAAAGAAAAAAGAATATGGGCCGGTACGACTCCACCAACTATAGGACACGTGGCCCACTAAAAGATAAAATTACTCTTATCTTACGGCCAAAATGTTGCCGACATTATAGACGATCCAGATGCTGCAGACACAAAAGCTAACTGCCATCAACTGTTTAAACATTCCCTTTTTCAAAAAGCTGTCAAAGCACCAACTGGAACTATTCCTTACCTCGTCCACGTGGAAGACAATGATAGGACCGACATTACTAATACACTGGACTTAATAGAATTTGAAGTCCGCAGTTGCCTATAAGAAGGACCCCTCTCTTTGAAGAGATGCAGGTCATAGAAAAGTTTCTTTGAGCTCTCTTTGTTTCTCGCTAAACTTTCTATCTTCCAGTTTTTCTTTCAGTCTTTCCTCTCTGAGTATGTATCATAAGGTGAAGTAAACAGAGTCTGTTGCCTGGATTGCTAAGATTGCTAGTTTGTCTTATGTAATGTGAGTATTTTCAGCCTGATATATGTATCTTGTTCTTGCTTCCTTTGTTTATAATTCTAAGTTTTTTAGATGTTAATTTTATTTGTTCTGCATTTAATTCTGCTTGACCTGATCATTGACTATCATCACTGGTAAAACTACTGATCAAGGTGCAAAAACCATCAAATAGGACTCATGTAATCAAGTTTAAGTCAAAGGAAATTTATACTAGAAAACTAATTCATTATGATTGTTGGCTGCCAGACTCAACTTGGTGCATTCCTTCAACCACAACGTTGACTTACACATGGTATTCAAACAGTAAGAATTACAAAAAACTGATCAAAATTAAATATCTCACAAAGAGAACCAATAGTCACGCTCAGAAATTGCATTACTCAGGAACAGCGATCCAATCACTAAACAATTCACTTTCCCTTTCAAGAAAAAAAACTCTAAAGATACCACGATCAAACAAAACTACCATCCAAATTACTGCCTAGGGGGTTTCTCTAGGTGAAAGTTCTTGAATAGGTGGCTATCAGACTTTATCCAGTTCATTACTCAGGAACAGTGATCCAATCACTAAACAATTCACTTTCCCTTTCAGCAAAAAAAACTCTAAAGATACCACGATCAAACAAAACTACCATCCAAATTACTGCCTAGTGGATTTCTCTAGGTGTAAGCTCTTGAATAGGTGGATATCAGACTTTATGCAGTTCAATTCAAGCCTATTCACTGGCTAACATTCCTTCATTTTCTTGTGCTAGCTCCATTCATCCCCTTGGTTATTTAGTGTTCACATGGTACAACGTTTTGTCAGATCCTCTTTTGGTGTTACCTTTTGTTAGATCCTCCAGAAGTTTAAGTTTTGAATACATGATATATGTTAAAGAAGAGGCCTTGGGGACAAGGCGGCTTTTGTAGTCATGTTGTTTCTCAATGGATTAACTTGGAACCCCAATACATGATATATATACACCGATAGTCAAAGTATGACATCACAATCTCATGCCCACAAAGAAGCACACAATGATACCCTAGAAATTAATAACCAATAAGAACACCCAACATATATAATCTCTGATGGAAACCAATGGAAAAGAATATGAAGATATCATCCCACCCTAGAAATTAATAACCAATAAGAACACCCTACATATATAATCTCTGATGGAAACCGATGGAAAAGAATATGAAGATATCATCCCAGAAATGAAAATATGGTATTCACCTTTCAAGAAATTAAACAGAACATGATTCAATTCGGCTGTCCTCCAGGTCAAAGTTATTGGTAAACATGACTGCATCTCAACTGACTCATTGCTACACTAATTTTGAAGCCTAGAAGCCAAGGAAGCCAACTTGCAAGCTATGAAAAATATTATACAATGTATACGATAGTCATAATGAAGCAGAAAATATAGAAAAACAATTATATACCATAATGAACATTGGAAACTAATTCCCGCCCTTTACTGAGAACTAAGTAAATAAGTCGGGGGAAATTATGTCAAAACTTTATATGAATAAGAAACTATCACAATACCATATTTCATGTGCATCATTTTTTTTTATTTCCCTTTGATAGATAGTCAACATTTGTCAAAAAATAATTGTAAGAAAAGAAATTTCCCGAAAAGATGTTCAAATCGAACACAACAATGGCAATGCAATGACCTTTGGGCATTATCTTGTATAAATGACCTTCTGTAAAGCTGAATGACATCATAATAACGGTATTTCGCCTCCTCTAAAATTTGATCTTTCTGACCCATCCGATCAAGCTGCATCCAATCAAGGGACCAAAGAGAAAACCATCACAGATGAAACCAAAAGATATTTCAAGCCCACAGATTGTATGACATTATTAGCTAAAAGGAATGACAATTTCAAAAGGATAACAGATATCTTCAGAATGTAAGTGCGGAATTTATACGAGGAAATAAAAAATTTGATTTATATGCACGAAGGAAGAACATAAATTATTCTTGTTCATTAAAAAGGTGCATACCAGTAAAGCACACACAGTACCCTCCAAGGCTCCAGCATGCCAGAAAACATCTCCAGTTAATCTGGCCAACTCTATTGCCGTGGAATAATGATCATTAGCATCGACAGGTGAACCTGCCAGTAGACAATAATCCCCAATTGTTTTTTGAGCTCGTCCAAGTCTCCGTTTCTTTGCCTTGATCACCTGTTAAACCAAGACAGCTTAAATCTTACGCAAGACAACAATTATGATTCTCTTTATGATATTCCACTTAGTTTACATTCAAACTTTCTTCTTTGAAAAATTTAGGTTCAGTTGTAGAGTTTACTAAATCAGCAATATCATTATAACTGACCTCCTCAGAACCGAGACTCGTTTGAGAATCCAAAGGTGTCTTCAAAATAGTTCCTGCAGATTCTGCACGAAGAACATACTTCTCAAATTCCATCAACAACGCAGCAGCAAGATCTTGCATCATTGTTTGTATGTGAAATTCTTGAGTTTGTCGATCTGCAGGTGGGAACAATATCAAATTATTGCCTTTTTTACCACCATCCTCTAGCTGCATTACAAAATAAACGTAGAAAGGTAAAAAGGTATTCAGGAAAGACGAGCATCTAAAAGTGTTGCTTCATAGAAAAAGTAAAGGCAAACACATAGGGATGAAAACTCCAAAAATGCATAGGACCATAATACAAACAGGGTCATAATACAAATAGAAGAAGAAATACCAAGCTTTGCTGCACGAAAAATAATCGGCTAAATCTTATCTTTCCAATATTGTCACTTGCATCGATTAGACATATGAATTTAGCCAAACACAAACCAAGTTTGGAAAGACTACAGAAAGAGGATATCTAGTTCAATTACCACAAGACAGTAACGATTTCATTAAAAATGACTTTTTTCTTTTCCATTTTCAATCAACAAACTCAAACCCTAGATTCTAGGAATTCTTTGAAAGCAACAAGTCAGATTTTGATTCACTACGGTTGAGTTGGGAGAAAGCGGTGGAATTTTTTGGTGTGGGAGAAATGGTGGGAGGGCCAAAGAGGAAAAATTGTTAGCATCACAGTCAAATACTCATAACCCAAATTCTACTATTTCAACTTGATGGCAATAAATATGATAAAAACAAGAAATAACATCACAAAACAGCTTAATTCTAGATGCCCAATAATCTTGAAAAGAGCATTCCTATCCATATCCAACTTTTTATCAAATTGTCATCATAGTTTGCAACACTTAATGATGAAGCACATAGCATGTCAAGTGGTCGGACCAATGAGCATCTCCTATGGGAGAGGGCTACCAAGAAGAACAAGAAAACCAAGCATTGTTTGGGATAATTTTCTAGCTAGTTTAGGATTATTTTCAGTTATTTTTAATTGCTTTAATTTGCTGGACCAGATGGGGATTTTTTCTAGTCATTTTGTTTATAATAAGGGTCATTTATTTTAAAGTTTTAGGACTAATTGAGTCATCCTTATTTAAACAAGGCTATTATAACTTCTGTATTTAGTAAGACATATGGGTCCATTTATTACGGGTATGGACACTTTTTGTCTTTTGGACATTAATTAATGTTATTTTAGGCATGGAACCTTGATAAAGGCATTCAACCTGATTTCCAGCAAAGAAGGAGAGAGAGCGTTCTCCAACTTGAAACCCTAGCTCTGGGTGAGGGAGAAACCCTAAGTTTCGTCTAAAAAGTGCTTGTTTTGGCCTGAAGTATAGTTGTTTTTCCGTTTTCCTTCAATTTTCCTACATCAGTTTGATATTAAAGCTCAGATTTTCTTCATCAATAAGGCCAATAAACTACAAGTAAGTCTAGGATTTGGTGATTTTGACCAAGGTTTGTTGGTTTCAGCCTAGATCTTGCTAATTTCAGCGAGATTTTGTTGATTATTTGCATATGATTTGTGATTTTGATGAACTCACGGCAGCAGGAAGAGACCTTGGAAGGGGGCTTTTATAGACCCACTTCATGATCCTATAGATGAAGAGATTGATGACCTTAAAAGGAAAGTTTAGTAGCTAGTGTAGTAGTTTGCTAGTATCAATCATGGACAAGACGGTGATCTTTTGGCCTAAGAAAATCTCAAGTACAACCCTTTTCACCATCACATTCCGCATGAAGAGTCAAGTAACGAGAAAAGTGATAGAAGACCTAGAAGTGGGGGACATCACTTGAAGTTTTAGATTTAAAGGATGACATTATTGATTTTGATGTAAGTCGTTTCCAAAATCAACATTGTAGATTGGGATTCGCTAACAATCTTTGATATATGCCCCCCAGATTAACAAGATCTTTTAGGAGATTCATCATCATCATAGTCTTTTCTCAATTAATTAGGGTCGGCTACACGAATCCTGGTATATCATTCTGCTCTATTAAGGGGTCATACCCTTAATGAGGCCATAAGTACCCATATCTATCTCTTAGGAGATCCAATCTATGATAAGTTTTAAGATAAAGACATTTTGGAAGAGCATCTCACTTATGAAGAATTTGGAGAGAAGACAAAAGGGTGACTGATCAAAATCATGGCCTTTGAAGATCTCAAGGATATCGAAGAGGTGGAGCATTCATGATACTTAGGGCATTGGGGTCAGAATAGCACAGCGAAAGTGTGCTCCACTCAAACCTCAAATTGTGGCCCTGGATTCATAGAGTAATAATATTAACATCAAGAAAGCCTCAAAAGGCCAGAAAATTGAGTTTGATGTTTCCATGATTTTCAATGCGAGTTCAAGAACAGCCAAATTTGATAAATTTGTATTGATTTATCAATATACATACCAGGATCTGTTTCTTAAAGATTTCTTCTAACTATGAATAATCTTTGAACCAGTGAAGAGAGGAAAAGCTTGGGCTTTTGAAGACCTAGTTAGGGTTTGGGGAAGAAACCCTAGATTTCTTCCACTTGTTGCATGTGTTTGGCTTGAATCAATGACGAGTTTTCTGTTCTATCAACCTACATCATTTTGGTATCTTAGGATGAATAACATTTGTCAAGGAGAAAAGAGTGTAGAAGAGTACACCAATGAATTTTATTGGTTGATAGCTCATTGTGATGTGGTTGAAAGAGAGAAGCATTCCCTAGCTCACTTTATTGGTGAGCTAAGAACATCTATGCAAGGTCTGGCGGTTTTACGGTATTGCTCGACCTTAGATGAAGCTTACAACCTAGCAAATAAGGTCGAAGCTCAGCAGTAGCATCGATCATCAATGTGGGGGCGCAGCTCAGGGTAGTACAAGTGACCATGGAAATGAATTTAAAGGAAAAGATGAGAATATAGTGGTTGGACAAACCTTATGGCCTGCTGGTCTGTCCAAACAGCAGGATATTGAGGGTGTTAAGGGCAGTTAGTCACCCGAATCGCTCAAACAGCAACATTATTAAGTACTTTTAGTGTTTAGGAATCGGATACAATCTTTTAAGTGCCCGTATAGAAAATTTGTGAACTTTGAGGAATTTCTTAAAGAAGACAGCAAGCTATTATTCGATGGAGACCCTGTTTATGATGAGAAATATTGAGACATAAGAGCCTGAAGTGTCATTTAGTGATTATGGGGAGGCTTTGGTGATCTAGCACAGCATGATTACACCCCGAGTAGTAGACAAGGCAGATTGGCTGTGCACTAATATTTTTCACACTCAATGCACCGCATATGGGAGGTATTGCAATCTTATCATTGACGGAGGCAGTTGTGAAAATGTTGTTCCTTAGGAGAAAGAGATGACAGAAAACCACCCGACAGAAAACCACCCAAGGCCATACAAGATAGCTTGGTTCAAGAAAGAAAATGAGGTAACAGTTTCTAAATGCTGTCTAGTTTACTTTCTATTGGAAAGCACTACAAAGATGAGGTATGGGGCGACGTCATGCCTATTTATGCGTGTCATTTACTATTGGGTAGACCATGGCAGTATGATAGGAGTACCATTCATGACGGGTTTAAAGACGCTTACTCCTTTGTCAAATATGAGGTAAAAGTGGTTTTAGGTCCATCTAAGAAGGAAAATGCATCCAAATCAAATACCTGATGTACTAACCTTCTTTCTTTGACGGCGTTTATGGAGAGGTGGGAGGAGTCCAGGATGTTGTTTGTAGTGGTCCAAGTAAAGGAGCAGCCGATAGTTTTGTTCAACCACAGCTAGAGCCCTAAATGAGGGAATATAGTGATGTCATTCTGGGGGAGCTTACCAAGGGGTAAGCTCGCATGGGAGACATCCAGCATCACATAGACGTCGTTTCTAGGTCTAGCCTACCGAACAAGGCCGCATATAGAATGAGCTTGAAGGAGCATGAAGAATTGCATAGTCAAGTCCCAAAGCTTGTACAAAAGGGATTCATTCGAGAGAGCACGAGTCCATGTGTTTTCCCAGCCTTATTGATGCTCAAAGAGGATTAGACTCGGCGCATGTGTGTGGACAGCAGCGCTATTAACAAGATCACGATCAAGTCAGCTTCCCAATTCAGTGTCTTGATGATATGTTGGATATGTTGGCTGCTACTACTGTGTTTTCGAAGATAATTTGAGAAGTGGGTACCATCATATACGCATTCGGCTAGGGGATGAGTGGAAGACTACATTTAAAATACGAGAGGGCCCTTATGAGTGGTTGGTGATGTAATTTGGCCTCTTACCCTCTCCAATGCTCTCAGTACTTTTACGAGGGTGATGAATCAGGTGCTTTTTTTTTTATAAACGTTAACCTTGGTGATGAATCAGGTGTTTCAGCCTCTTATTGGTAAATTTGCGATGATCTACTTGGACAATATTCGAATACACAGCATTGGTGAGCAGCAGCAGCTAGAGCACTTGTGGATGGTGTTTGACTTGTTACAAGAACGGTACCTGTACGTGAATCTTAAAAACTATAAATTCACATAGGCAACTTAATCTTTCTTGGTTATGTTGCCTCAGCTAAGGGCATGAAATTTGACCTAAAGCGGGCAGCAGTTATCAGGGATTGGCATACACCTACTACAATGCATGGTGTTTGCAGTTTTCATGGGTGGGCTACTTTCTACAGGAGGTTTATCAGAGGCTTCAATTCCATCGTAGGACCTATCATAGATTGTCTAAAGAATTGGGCATTTGTATGGTTGATGAGACCTAGAAGAGTTTCCAGTTGGTGAGCAAACGATGACTGGGGCGCCTATGTTGGTTCTTCCAGACTTTGACAAGGTCTTCGAGTTATATTGTGATGCTTTGCATGTTAGGTTTGGTTCAGTGTTGAGTCAAGAAGGTCATCGTCCTTCAATAAGAAGTAAAATGACACCCAGCAGCGATATTCTGTATGATGATGTGGAGCTTTATGCTATTATTCAAGCTTAAGACATTGGTGGCATTATCTAATCCAGAGGGAGTTTAGTTTGTTCTCAGATCATGAAGTACTCAAGGATATTAATGTGCAATATAAACTAAACCAACATCATGACAGTGACTATCTTATTTGCAGGAGTTCACATTTGTCATGCGGCACAAGTCATGCAATCAAAACAGAGTGGCAAATGCTTTGATTAGAAGATCGGCTTTATTGACTACCATGACAGTCACTATTACTGGGTTTGAATTTATGAAGGATCAGTGTAGGAAGGCAAGGCACTATTATTTGAAATGGTTTGCATGCATGGCAGGAATGGAGACCGACCCAGATACTTTTGGTCAAGGATTTTACAAGGAAAGGCAGTTGTATTTAGTCTCCTCACTTCAGGAGGAATCTTAAGGAAGGACCACAAAAATTTCCAAGAATGCTCCACCTAGAGTATCTCAGCTCCCTCCAAAAGCTATAGCTTTTGGGTGGACTGTCACCTCAGTGAAAGATTACACATGTTCCATCTTCACAGCCATAGGATCCAATTCCTCCACAAATGTTAACTCTATCAAGACCCTAAAGAACCAGGACCACTTCTTTGCGCTGGTCTAACTTGAGAATTTTCTCCCAATAAGTATATCAATCTTCACCTCAAGAAACTTGCCTGTAAATTTTTAAATCAACTAATTAAGTAGGTTTTTCATACATCATTTGCTGCTACATTATCCTTTGACCTTGACAGTCATTTCTAACTAGGCTGCGGGGCAAGTTATTAGAAAGCAGGAATAGCCATGAACTCCACAATTAGCAATCACACCCCCACAATCTGCTCTTAACAAAACTATATGTACTTGGCATCATTACAACAAACAAATGCAATTGCATTTTATCCTAGTTACCGATCAATATTCCCCTAACTTGCCTAACAAAAAATATTCAATCATGCATTTTTTCCTATTGGAACTAACTAAATCAACAATCATCAAATAAACGTAATTCATGGTTCAGACAACTGCAAAATCTAGTAATCTAAATCCTCTCTCTAGTTTAAGGGGATTTCCCAAGATGACCCTAAAACACTACCTATGTTCATTCCCCGTGGACATGAAGCATAAAAACTCCAAAGTATCATTTATACCTGCTCCCCATTAATCTAGACCCCAATTTTTCATACACAAGCAAAGCAAACAACTTTGACATCAAATGCAAAAGTTATTTTTTGCACCTAGCCAAGAGGACATGAGCAATAATGATGGTAAACAATCACAAAAATATGGCAGACAATCAAATCAATGATTGGGCTTCAAAATCAAAACAAAAGAAAAATTGACCAAAAAAAACCCATGCCTCCTCAGAGTCATGGAAACAAATCACAAAGCCAAATCAATCCAGAGAATTCAGAATCAAAACCAAAGCCAAATTGATCAGAGAGACCTGAACCTGTGAATCACTAGGACAAAATGCAAAGCACTTCTCAACCAGAGCCGAAGAGTAAGCCTTTCTAATTCCCTGAAACTGTTCGTAAACAGCTCCTAGATCAGGTGAAGAAGGACAATGGCATAGTCCTATTACTCCAAGGATCTTTCTATTCGACTGAAAATCTTCCCACGCACTAGGTTGAGCACCTCCAACCAAAAATTTGAACCTCAGACTACCATTTTCCCAAGGCTGATGAGCAAAGGGGCTCTTTTGATGCTCTGTGTAAAAGGAACTAATAGACGAGAGCTCGATCTTATTAAGGCGAAGGAGCATGGATACATAGTCCCTCATATTGGATCGAGGCATATCACCCACAGGAAGAACAGCAATGCGGATCATGCACCCGCTCTCTATGCTCACGTCCGGTTCCATTTTGCGGGAGAAAATGACAGCTCGGCCTGAATTTGTCAGTTCTTCGGCGACTAGGCCAACCCCTGGTTATGGCAGTTCGTGGGGATTGGGAGAAGAAATGAGATTGTCTGCTTATGTTAATGCATTTGTAATGGGTTCACTGGCCTTTTTATGATGTGGCCGGAAAATATTTTCAGACGAGTCTCAACGATACAGACGATACAATAGCAGAAAATGGCGATAATTCGGGTTGCAAGTGACGCTCACGACTCACGACCTTTGAGCCCATTCCAAACTGAACCAAAACATCTTCTATAAGTATGACATGTTTTTTTCTCTGTGTTTTTTAAGAATGTTACATAAAGGGAAAAGTTTATATAGAACTGACGCTCTAAACAATCAAATGAGCTCCTACTACAAAAATGGCTCTAAACAATCAAATGAGCGCCTACTACAAAAATTACAAAAATGGCTCTAAACAATCAAATAAGCGCCTACTACAAAAATTTCACTAGAAGATGTTGTTCTTGATGCTCAAATATCCTCAAATTGATCATCTCGACATCAAGATGCATATACGTGAGAAAAAAACGAATTTCAAGTTTTGAAAATAGTATATTTTGTAACGTATTTTTGGACTGTCAATTTTCAATATTTTTAAGTTTTCATAGATCGATCGATCTACACTATTTTTTAAGCCTTAAAATTTTATAAATAAAAAGAAAAATATATTTTAAAGTTATCACAAAGATTTCCAATATTGAAACCACATTTTTTGGCACTATTTGAAGGTAGGCTCTAAACAAACCGCTCCCCTTTGGTAAATTCTTTTTATTTAATGTTACTATAAATTTCCCCTTATATGTTACTAAATATTAGGTTCATACCCATTTTTCTCCATTTTATTTGGTACTTTTTTTTTTCCACAAATGCCCTAACTTTGAACTTTGATCGAAAAGTGTTTGGTGAGTCGGCCGACTTGCACTATTCTTATACGGTCTCCCTACAAAATGTCTCAAAGGAGTATTTTCGATCCAAAATTTTAAAGTTCAATAATCTCAACCGTGACAATGATCTAAATTTGAAATTTTTCTTTTTCAAAAAATTTAAATGTTGCTTTTTGAATTCCTTTCTTCACCATCTATTTTAATAACAATTTTCTACATCGGAAGTTAGATAGACAAGGATCACACGGTAATAGGTGAGTCGGCTGACTCACCAAAAACTTGTCCTTGTTGGAATACTCAAAGTGGCCTTCCTTTGAAAGAAAATTTCTGGGTTTTTAAAATCCAAAGTTGTTTGTATATCGTTGTTGAACAAACAAAACTCGGATTTTGAAAATCAGATGTTTATGTACTGTCAAACTCATTTTGTCTATTGTCTTTCAACAAAACCTTCAGAATTTGAAAAGAAAACGTATACAAAGAGACCATTCATTTTTTAAACAAAGAGGTCACAAATCACTTGTCTCACAAATTTTAAATTGGGCGACGGTAAGTGTATCCTTATGAGACTCAAAGTTCAAAAAAAAATCCCAACCATCCAATTGACATCTAATAACCAATAACAATTGTAACCTTTTAACAAAGATAGTCTCATAGTATACAATCCCTTTTGAAAATTCAAGGTTGTTCCTTCATAAAAAAAAAACAAATTTTGAAAATCTAAAATTTACATATATGGGGCTTTGATAAACCTCAAACCTTCGAAATCCGAATAATGGGTGTTTTTGTTAATTTTTTTAGAAGGCGAATAAAGTAGGTATAAATGTAATAACTCAAAAAAAATGACTTTTAAACTACCGGTACTTTAGGGGATATGTGTGCTAATTACTCTTTTTATCCTTTTTCCTTTTTTTCTTAGAGTAGTTCAGGAATCATACCAACATAAGTGTTCCAATCGTGAACAACTAACCACTTAAGCGCATATTCGTAGTAGGGTTTAAAAAGTCGGCCTGAGTGGTAGAACCAGCTATATACTGGGTCTAATTTCACTTGTTAAGCTTGCCTAAAAGTTTCAAAACTTAAAATCCAAATCTAGCAAGTTTGTGGAAGGAATGGATAAGTGAATAACAAGATTTTGGTTCCTATCTGAGTGTCACATAACTATTTCAAGATAATAAGTACCGTAAATCTCAATGATAATATCCATATTATCCATTAAATTTCAACATCATATTAAAAGTCAAAAATACAATCTAAAGCCAAAGGAACGATGTGATGGCCCATAGTTATCCAAACCACCATCATAAAATACATGTTGGCCGATTTCGGAGAGGCAATTGTGACTCAATAAATTCTCAAATATCCCACCTTGCTAGGTATATATCCTTGGACATAGCTTTTTTTTTTTTTAGTATTAATTTCATTCACCACTTCAACAGATGAAGGAGCAAAATACCTTTGTTACTTTGATCAATTCTAGGTGACTACAACAAAGTTTACAAAATATATCCTCCACATAAAAATGACCTTATATTGCATTCATCTCAATCTATTCTTTGCAGGCTTACTGTCTTCTGCCTTGCATGCATGTATGCTTTGTATACTTGTTTTTATCATGTTTGGTGTTTGTATTATAAACATTTGTACCAGACGCTTATATCGTTGTCAGTAACAGTGTCATAAATTATAGAGATCGTGTGTTCATACGTATTCGTTAGTCAACAAATAGCATTCCATCGTAGGGCCACATATCTAAAGGTTAGTTTCTTCCGAACCATATAATGGTGCTTATGCTTAGGCCTCATGACTTATGTTTTAAGTGGTCACGGGTCTAGAAGATATTTCTAAAAGAGAATTTTGTATTTGATACATATCTTTGAGGTATAGATTACAGGGAAGAGAACTTCTCTCATCTGCCAGAGAGCCTTGATGAGAGACTCTCTCTTATAATTTTACTGGAATATTCCATAGGACAGTTGTGTTACCAATTTTGCTCTATGGGGCATGTGTGGCGTAAACCTAATACAACACATATTAGGAAGTGTGAGTTAATTCAAGTGGAAGGCTGAATAATAGCAGGGGTACGCTCAAAAAGACATGGGTAGAAGTAGTGGGAAAAGATATGGGGACTTATGGCCTCCTTGAGAGTATGACCCTTATTATTGTAGAATGGAAAACTGGCATTCATGTAGCCGACCCCAATTAGTTGGAAAAAAACTTTGACAATGATGATGATGATCATAATGGTGAAAACAGGGTAAAAGGGATTCACTGGACTGATTTAAATATATATATGAAGAGGGGGTGTCATCAGTTGACCAAGACTACTAGAGCCTCAAAGGAAGTACTCCTTGTTGGGACTATTTTTTGTCAGTACGAGGCGTTGTATTTAATACTCAGCATACCATCCTTATCATGCACGGATGCGACTGACTAACCTTAAGTAATTTGTAAATAGGGTCTTTGGTCTTCTCTGCATAGATTATCAGTAAAGTTCCAACATGTATCAAAATTTCACTAGAACAGCATAAAGAAATTTATCTAAATCAATCCTTCAACAATCTAGTGCAAAAAACCTTGATACAATTGAACATGACAAGCAATTATTAACCATAAAAGAAAATTTATTACTTAATTTTTTTGTGCCGGACTAGCTTCTAGCTTCTAAAGTTCCAGAAGCCTCACTACCAGTCCGACACACTTTTGTGCCGCACATCACTTTCTCCTTTCGGTCCAATACAAGAGTATGCTAGATTGGCTTCTAGGTTCTAGAATTCCAGAAGCTTCACTACCGGCCCGGTACAAATTTTGCACACTTTCGTGCCAAACTGCATGTTCTGCTTTGGTTCCAGCACACTTTTGTGCCGGACTGCATGTTCTGCTTTGGTTCGGGCACAGTTTTGTGCTGGACGATGTTCTCTCTCTCAGAAGCCCCTCTCTCTCTCTCTCTATCTCGTTTCTTAGATGTTGAACTATCATATTGGAATTTTGAATAAGATTCTGACATTCAATACAATGATGAAAATATGGAAATATATAGAAAAATAGATACGAGATGGCTACTCAAGCCTTATGATCAATCCAACATATATTCCTTAGTTTCCTAGTTTATATAAGTTTACATTTTCTTAGCGACTATGTGCCACATGACTTTCAATGATTGATCATCTCATGAGCCACAAAGTAGACAAGTTCTTTCACTTCCAAATTAACAAAAACCAACCAGCAAGCTAATGACTTTAGCCAATAAAACAGTAGTAGAGTTAGTTGATTTACCTCTTTATCAACTGTCGATAATTTTAAGAAGGACCTCACATAAGCATCTCTTGAAAATATCTCAATTAACTCCTTACAAGTACTGTACAGTTGGGCATGACACTAAAAATAAAGGCTTAAATACATCAACATACCTTTCTACAGACTCAAAATCTCAAGGAGCACACAAGTTCAACATCAAGATTATCTGATAATCAGAAATTCAATGTTGATAATCAGAAATTCAATGTTGATTTTAAATATGTTGGTCAGGAGCCATAGATTTTCATTCACAAAATATTATCGTTAACTAAACAACAACTAGTGTCATTCATTTACAAACCACTGAAAAGAGACAAGGTTCTTAAAAATCGCATGAAATAGGAAAAAAAAAAAAAACAAGATACAAATGAAGCTTTGAAAAAAATGTTCATCAATTTCTACATCTCAAAATTTTTTGGCCAGCTCAGTAGATCCTTCCCCTTCAAATGGTATTACTCTGTAGACCTTCCATCATGGCCACCCAAGTGCCCCTTGTATCTCCTTCTCTTCGTGGCCAAAAATTCCACATCAATTCCTCACGTAAAGCGAGAATGTCTACCTAACATCGGTCTTCTCTTCGCTTTGTTCTCCTCTCATCATCCTCATCGCTTTTTCTCCCCTTATTTCCTCCATTTCCCTCCTCACCGTCCTCCTTGTTGGACTTTTGTGGCCATTTCAAGGCCTTTCGAGAGCATGTAACTAAATTTATAATAGTGGAACAATGAACTCCAGTGGGAGTACGATCCAGAGGGACCAAAGTTAGCAATATTGATGCTAAGACTCAAACTAGGCTTGATGAGCTAGGCCAGTTGAGTTCTATAACTCTAAGACACCTAGGCATATAGCACAACCGAGAACGGTTAGCAGGGTTACCCTTTGATGAGGTCGGAGACATGCCCAGGGCAGTTAGCCAAGGGACTGTGTGACCATTGTGTGTGATTGGTAGGCCTGAAGGGACAATGGCCAAACCGTTATCATAAACTATCACATGACATGTACATGTGATAGACATATTGGGAAGATGATACTATTGAGGATGTTGCATGCACATGTGCGAGACGTCACCCATGCACCAATT